ATTAAATATAAAAAAAATCTGTTTTCAGGTAAGTGGATGAAGTGGAAGAGAGAAGGCATCATTAAAAATCTTCACATTTTAGTGCAGATATTAATCTTTTTTATGCAGAAAAGTCGTAACCAACCTGTTCGAATGTGGGCAGGTGAGGTGAGGCGGGGCTCAGCGGGCTCTGCAGTTCCCCACAGCTCGGCCGTAACTTGTGCAGGTGGTTCCGCTGATGCCAGGACTTCAGCTCCTCGGAGACGACCTCGCGGGGCATCATCCTGACGGCGTGGTTGGGGTACTCTCTCAGCGAAGGCGTTCGCACCAGCTTACTGTAAGGCGGCGGGGGCTTTAGGATGTTCCTCGGGGAGGAGGCTCGCCTTTGCTGTCTGCCAGCGGTTGGAGGGGTGGACAGGAAGCGCTTCCCCAGGTCCAGGTCTTGTGGAGAGAGGGGGACGTCCTCCATTGCAGCTCTGGTGTGGGCAGGGCTGGACTGAAGCTGGCTGCTGCTCTTGTGTGGGCCGGAGAAGACGGAGAGGTCTTTCTTCTGGGCTCCAAAGTGGAATCCGTAAGGTGGGGGGCAGAGTTTAGGGATCTCAGTGGGTCTGTCTCTCACAGGGGAGCAGATGAAGGAGGAAGACGAGTGCTCTGAGCTGCTGTCCTCTGAGCTGGTCTGGTAAGGGTGCGGCGGACACTTCGGGGAACGGACAGAGAGGCTGAGGTGCTGTTGAGGCAGCCCTGCTGTTCCTTGACTGCTCTCTGAGCTCAGGTGCTCTACATCAACAAACAGCTTTTTCTTGGGAAGCCTGCACAAAATAAAACTGTAAAATACTTTGTAAAACACATGTTCTTGGACTGCCACTGACTTTTCTACACACCTGAAAGACTGAGAGTACTGCCGGCGAACAAGCAGCTCTGGGGTGGAGGGGGCGCTGGTTGAGTGAGAGTGACGCAACGCCGAGTTCCTGACAAACTGGGTGAGAGGAATCCTGCAGTTTTCTGCAGACACCTGCATCCCTGCTGGACTACTAGATAAGATAAGATAAGATAAGATAAGATAAGATAAGATAAGATAAGATAAGATAAGATAAGATAAGATAAGATAAGATAAGAT